AAAGAGTGCAATGGTTCTCCACGGTGCGTCAGGGAGATTCCCGAGTAAACGAAAGAGCATAAAGGCCTGAATTTCCTGTTCGGGTGCCTAACAACTCAACACCCCGCTCTCCCCATTATGACCAGAATCAATCCTAGATGCAGTTTTATCTGGCTACCACAAAATAGTTTGTAGGAGGCAGCACTCCAACACGCTGAGAATCTATTATGAATTTAAGTAATATTCTGCCTTACTTCACAACCAACTGGGAACATGTGACAATACCAGGGGAGAGCCAAATTTCTCCTGTTGGTTGCAACAGAGGAATAAGGCACAACTGTAGAAGACCCTTCATTCTCCTTTCCTGCTAGCTGATGCTCTGAGTTGTGCTAGAAATAGCTGGTTATGTAAAGAAAAATAACACACTACCATCTTCTTGACAAGCTGTGTGAATGTTCATAAAGCATTCAAGAACTACAAACTTTCATTTACTTGCTTTTCAGAAGCTCTTTCGCAAAGACAGTGGAAAACACCTCTCTCTGTTTAAATTAACCAACATATTTATGAGTTGGCTGAGTTTGCTGCAGAAGAAGATTAGCCTGTGTTAATGCTGGAACTCCAGAACGGTACCTCACATCTACGCTGACCTTGCTACAGAACTGCACATCATCCAAATGAACTGCACTGCTAAACTAGCCTGAAAAAGCTGGTGGCAGCACAGAAAGATCCCATCAGGGACTTGCAATTCTCAACCAAATTCAATTAGCTTAATAGAATATTTGTGCTCTGCGCAAAGGGCTCCAAGTGACACTTACAAACTCAGTAACTGCAATGCCCACTACATTGTATGCTTTCCCACTGGGATCTCAGCACACAGATGCCCAGGTTTCCCTATCCAGCTCTTCCTTGTACACAAACATTTCATTCAAACCCAGGTTCATCACGCTTTCAGAAGACAGTGACTATTTACATACACAAATGAAAGAGGCATTAATTAAAACATTGACTTTTATTTGCATAATTAGTGCTAAAAATATTTTTATGGGTTAATGAGACTTTATGCAAATCAGACTGAGAAGATTTAATTTGGAGTTTGATAACCTGACTATTACAGTTCCGCAGTTGCAAATACACTCAGAGTTACGTGCTGTTCTAAAGCCATGTCTTCCCTTTCAAACTGTTTTGTTTTTTACTTCTGGCAGGCTCAAATGATATGTTTTTCCTCTCCGTTTATCCCCCACCCCCAAACTCTCCACTGAAAATCTCACTAACTGCAATGATATCAAGTGTAAATACATTGCATCAGTGAGCTGCTCATGACAAGAGAAATTTCCGCACTTTACAGAAGTCTAATATTTCCCAGGCACTCTGACTGGGCACAGAATACAAATGTTAAAATCTGCTCAGGTTTTCTGTGCCTGAAGATACTACAAACCGACTGCATGGGAAAGCAATAACCAACCCAGCATCCACTGAAGATTTTATGATACTCTTCAATGAGCCCAGGTTTGAGGCTAATAATAAGCGCAGAGCTAGGGAATCATTGCTGGGATCTGTACAATGAAAATGCTCTATGCGAACTAACATACAGCAGTGTTGTGAGAATTCATTAAGATGATACCCAGCAAGAGCAAAATAATTTCCACTGAAAGCAGCATTATACGACTTTACTATGTGCTGCGGAAGACAATCATACTTAGTGAAAAAGCACTGCTTTTATGTCTGTGGAACAACTAGACCAAGTCTCAATAAAAACACATTAAACAGGAAAGCAGGCACCAGCAGGCCAGTTCATACCAGTGCTCCCTGGAGTGCACTGCTCTGCTTCTGACAGTTACCAGTGTATGGCTTAGCACAGGAACCTCTGGTTCTGGAAGAAGTAACTGTTTGCAAAAGGGGATTCTTCTGTATTACACACAAGACACTAAATACTGAAAGATTTGAATTATCCTGTACCAATGCTTGAAAGTTACAGCGGTTCACTGTGGAAGAATTCATTGCTTGCTTGATGAACCAACCACAGAGTCTGTGATACGTTCAGAGAAACAAGGTCAAAACTATCAAGCCAAAAAATTATGTTCAGTAAAAACCTTTAAAATTAAGGATATTCACATTCATGCCAAAATGACACACACACACCACCACCACCTCCCCGCAACGCAGGCCTATTTTATTCATTTTTTAATTTTAAACTGATGAATTTTATTACCTGGAAACTGAGATGCCCTGTTATAGATCAGCAGATGGTACCGTAGTTAACATAAGTGTCTCCAGATTTCCAGGCTACAGGTTTAATAGCTATGAGTAGTGGTAATATGAGCCCTAAGTCTTTCAACCAATGAATGGTATCATGGATATAAATGAGTTTAATGTGCCGAGAATATGAGGTTTCATACCTGTTCCTTGAACTTGGTGCTATCCTCTGACAAATAACTGTTGTGGTTGAATGCTTTCCACCATTCCCCACCTCTTGTTTCACATCCCACTGCTGGGGGTCGCTTGTCTTTGCACTGAGAATGTTTACACCTTTCTTCACCTTTGCCCTGTTGGAAACAGCAATTGTAAAAAGTTTAACAAGAGAGTCATTCAGGACTTTGATCTTCCAAATGTAGCTCAAGCATGGAAATCTCAATATATCAGTTTTAAGCTAAGTATTAGATATGTTTCTAATCCATCAGTGAACAAGAGTGGTATCATGAATGCAGATCTAAGGCAACGTATCACTTTTTTTGGACAGAACCAGCTGTGTGCCTTTATCCGTTCTGCCAACAGTAGGCTGGAGTTATGAGTAAGACTGAACCTGCAGGAAAACCTGCAGTCAAGGTTCTTTTCTCTATTCTGGCAATAATTTCTCCCAAAGAGAAATTTGTCCCAACACAGAAGACTCAGGAAGGTGTTGTTCATCTGAGTATTTTTCTAAAATACTTACGCAACACAAAATGTTAGTTATTGAGCAGAAATCATCACCTCACAAGATGTCAATATCTTCTTGACATTTAATAGGACTCAGCACCTAAGTTCCTTGGAAAAACTGGTCTTTTTGAGATTTTAGACACTAAAACACTTTAAAAATGTAGTCACGAATGACTGAGAGTACTTATCTTCTTGTTGCATTTTTTCAACAGTGAGACAAAACACAATTAGTTTAAGGCATTGAAAAAGAAAACTTTTTTTTTCTCGGTCTAAAAGCATAAGTGCTTAATCTTCTTATTTGTAACATGAAACACCACGGAGCTTCACAGATCACTGTCTTGCTCGAGTAAAACTAGCACAAATCTGATGCATCTCTAATGCCTTCAGTTGAATTACTCAGAAATGAAAACAGAAAATTTAAAGGGAGAATCAAATTTGTTACTGAAGGTTCTTTAAAGCTCTAAGTCCCATAAAGTTTTCCAGCATATTACAGTTCAAATAAATGAACAATAAATAAACATTTCATTGATAAGAAAACGCTACCACCAATCTTGAAATCTGTATAAATCCATCAGTATGTTTTTGGTAGTACGTATTTTAGAAGATGTTTGGATGTACTTTAGGGTACTGTTATTTAGGAACTGGAGAGAAGTAGAAACCGATCATTTAGATACTTGTTCAGCTGTTCCTTGAGATGGGCTCTGAAATAGCATAACATCAGTCAAAATGAGGTTCCTCACGTTTGGATTTTCAACAGACTTACGACTTTGTCAGCAGCTGCAAATTGCTCTTTCCACCATGTAGCCTGACATAGTCAATACCTAGGCTCCTGTTAATTAGGACGGACATTTTGTGTGGCCAAGGTTAGTGGTAAAATACACTGCCAGAGGACGAAAGACCATGGCTACCATGCCATTTTGTTAATTAACTACAGAATGGGGCATTAAGTTGAGTGGTTTTCACATATGCCATTATATAAAGCCCATTAAAAAAAAATTCCATCCCAGTGTAAAGTAGGTTATGTTTAGTGAGAAAAATCAATGTTGTGATTGCACTTAGCACTGGAATTAGAGTATGAACACCCAGAAGATTGAACTTCCTAAATAAATATGCAGAAGCACAGTTTGCAACTCTCCCTCTAAAAAGGGCATTGAGTTTTATATAACAAGGTCAATGGATGAATCAGAATTAAGTCAGACAGTACTGAGCCCCATACATTTTTAAATGCAGTCTGTACGCATATGCTACAAATGTTTTCACTTAAATTTTTATTTACTTAGTGTTTGAGTGCTAGCAAGGAAAAGTCTATTTAATTTCTTACCAAAGAAATTCGATTTGTTGACCTTGTTGTATGCTTCTGATTAAATATTAATTTTTTAAATCAATAGTGCCAACTTTGTACATAAGAATTTGCAAGTTATACTACCTCAATAAACCCTGAGACCGAGGACCTGGAGGCCAAATTGCTTGACAGTCTCCTGTATTTACCCACCTAATCTATGCAGTATATATACATTTACCGTGTTTACTTAAGGGAGGCAGGTACGGTGACAATAGACAGAGATGACAAACAGCTGTAGTACTCCAGGTTTCCTTAGTGCGTGGTTCCCCACTCCAAGTGGAAAGTTCTCCCCTTGGCCATGTCTGCTTATTCACAAGTAGATGGTTGTCCTCACACGGAGGCTTTTCTGCACAGCTCTACAACCTGAAAGTATCCACCAGCCATAGCTGTCAGCTTGGACTTCCACCCAAACTGGAGTCAAAATCTTCCTCTCCAACGTTCTAGACAATGATTGTATTTACTGTGGGTGTCACTAAATTGCCTCTGTCACTCTGGCTATATGCTCTCTGTGGCAGCAGTAACTAAACCAAGGCCTCCAAGTCTGCTGCCCAGTAACAAAAATCACCCTTTCCTCTTTCTGGATCTAAACATGGACCCTGCTAGGCAAGCCACCTACATATGCATGAAACCTATGGGCAGCAGCTCATTTATTTGAGTTTGATTGTCTATGTGCTGAAAGTTAAGCACAGCTTTTGATCTTTTGACAAAAGCAGACCTTGCAATGGAAAGACGAAAGACCATCATTAAGAACAGCACAGAATACCAGAGGTCAGCTTCAATCCCACACTGGATAGAGGACTCCATCTGAATGAGTTTTTGAAGCTTCATGAACACATGGTAGCCAGAACAGCAAAAGACTTTCTTGCTTGAACTTCTAAGGTTATTAATTCATAGCACAGGAAATCTCTGCCTCACCTTTGTCTCAAAATAACTGTCTCTCTTTAAATCTCTCAAGTGGAGAATTAAAACATTTTGCTGGCATGCAGAACAAGCAGCATCTCAAAGACATTACAGAAAAAGTCTCCACCAGCTTACCTAGAAATTATTACGTTATTTTTGTCAAGACCAAGTAAAAACATTTACTTACTTATACAACCTCACAGCAAATGCACTTGTGTAAATGTGCAATTTCCAAGCAAATATTTCATTTCCAAATTGACGCTTTTAGTTGTATACAAAGATTTCCATTTAGCACCTTATCTTCCTAACATGTCAAACTTAGAAATGATGCTTCTAATTAATTTATTCTGATCAACTACAGATGGAAATCTAGCTGTTCCATTTCACTGTCCTCAAATTACAAGAAATCTGAGCAGTATTTAGACATAATACTATACAGCTGATGAAGACAGTAACTGAAAGGCAATTGAATCAGCAACTGCCAGAGCTGAAGATGTGGACTTATTATTTCAGGAGCTCAAATTATATTTTCCTATTTAAATTTATATTTTAATCTTGCAGAACCGCTACGGCCATGGAAGGGTTCTGCCACTTGCAGCAGTGCTATAGAGAGGGCAGACTGCTGAGTACTCCACACAGTTCTTCACATGCTGTATGATTTTGCTGGTGTATGCTAATCCTAGAGAGGATCACCGCTCTTATTCCAAAGTCATCCTCAAAGCACAGACCCAAGCAGGGCTGCATTGCCTGGGTGCGCTGCGATACAGATAAGAAATCTACTGGTGAGGGAAGAATCTGAAGTTACAGGCAGGCTAACACCACGTGAAGCTGATGAGGAGCCCCTGGCTGTACAGGTCCCTAACTCCCTTTCGCCTGACACTAACACCCAGCTGACTCACTGGCAAGCTAAGTTGGTAGCATTAATCAGTGGATGATTTAGCTTCCTGGACGGCTTACTGCGAGATCAGCTAAGCAGCAGTGTCAGTGCCAGGGAAGTGCAGAAGCACGAAGCGAGGGGTGGAGGGCAATACCCTCAGCAGCAGCAGGTACCTCTTACGTGGGGTCAGTATTGTCAAACTGCACTCTAACAGAAAGTTTACACGGCAGCTTGGGTAGACAAGGCTGCACTAAAGAATAAAAAACTAAATCAATACTAAATTCCTATAATCAGTGAGCTTCATAATATCTGGAACAGTGTTCCAGACACTAAACCTTCTGGTTCCTGTTAGACTGTTTGTTTTCAGAGGGTTATACTTAGCTCTGCATCTTCTGTGCTCCTCATAAATGCCATGCTATTCTCGGTATGCCGTACTTTGATCTGAGAGCAGTCTGGTTTTAGATCAGTCACCACTGCTTTGTACAGACAGTCTCTTCAGCTCACATCTGTTGTCCAAGCTGCTGTGCCAGAAGACTTTTCTTTAGGAAGTATTCGAAACATAAATATTAGAGACAGATGCAGGTTCAGTCTAACCAGGGGGATCAGCTCACTTATAAGGTAGTCCCTGGGTCACAGGAGCCGAGCGTGGCCATGCCATACCTCACCATGCTGGGCAAGTGAGAGGATGCTCATGCTAAATTCTCTGCATTTCCACACTTAAATCCTCATCTGTTTATATGTCAAGTTGGTGTTTCAACTTAACAAATACTGACCCCTTTTGGTCAGTCTTCTCTGAAGCCTCAGTGTTTCTTGTAACTTTGCTAATCCTCCCTTAGTTGCCCAGACTAGTAGAAGCCCTTGACATTACTGACTGTAAAGGTCACATTGTAAGAAATTGTTTTACTGTATCTCCCAAAGCCCCGGGAGCCTCTCCTGGTGGCCTGTTTCTGGGCTGAACTTTACAGTAAGTCTCTAACCTTCCCAAGTTCTGCCAAAAAAATTTCAACTTCTTCCTGCCGTGATTTAAGTTCACTGCTTTCCTTCTTTGTTCCCAGAGTAAATCAGAAGATTAAAGCCAGCTGCAGGAACCCATAAAACCCAGGCAGGAGACTAACCACAGCAATTAAGCAAGATTTGTTTTATTAAGTAAATCTTTTTCCTTTCATCTTTCTATGTGAAATGCGTTGCTAAATCTCACCGCAGCTCTGAATGAACAGGACAGACATCTGCCTGGCAAAACAATATTTATTAAAAGCCTCGTTGCTGGCCTTAGTTGAGAAGCCAAAAGCAGAACAGAAGAATATGACCTGGTTAGCCGTGTCGACCTTTCAAATATGCTCCTTTAATTTGCAAAATACACGGACAGAGTAAGCGTGATTAAGCGGCTACGGCTCTGCTTAGGGAATATGGGGGATCAGGTATCAGCTCCAGGCTTCCTGCACGGCTCCGCACAAGCCACAGGAGCCCTGTTTGCCTCCATCCCACCCTAGAAAGCAGATTTCCACCTGTGT